TTTCTGGAGTGTGGGTGAGATTTTCTGCCTCGTACCTTGTTTTCAGTGGCGTGCTTTTCCTTCTCCACCTTGGCCAGTGTTAGCTCAAGGTCATCGATATCTTTCTTCAGCTCTGAACATTCATCCTCCAGTTTTCTCTTCTTGGCTGTCAGCTCAGCATTGATTTCCTCCTCATCTTCAGCCCTTTCAGTCACTTCCTTAATTTTGGCTTCCAGCTGGATTTTGGTTTTGATGAGTTGGTCACACCTTTCCTCAGCATCAGCCAGGCTATCTGCTTCCTGGTGGGGAGACACAGATTGTATATGTTTATCATGTTTTGAAGTTCCTCTTCTATATCTTTTATCTTACTAAATTGACAGATAGAAAAGCCATGTCTGAAATTGCCTTTCCAATCAAATAGCTTAATGTTTTCAGGTTTTCTGTCTGGGAAATGGATCTGCAAATTCTCTCTTTGGAAGCCTTCGATTTTTTTTATTTTTTTTCTTTCAAAATTATTTGTCATGATTTACAATTGTGAGAATATCTCATGCACTTCAAGGCATCACAAAAGTGATCGTCTCTGTCACTAATTTTCCAATGAAATGGAGTTGCAAGCTTTTTGCTTCATACATACCAATCAGTGACTTTCCTTTCTTGAAGGTGTTTTTAATTTTTTTTATATGCTCCTGCAGGGTACATGGGTTATTGTTAATAATAAATCTACCACCTATTGCATATGTAAAAAATCCAGCTTGCAGGTGCAAATCATTGCAGTACTCAGAAATTAAATATTTTGCTCGATTACTCATTCACTTTGTTATTCTGCATTGTACTAAATTATGTCTGAATAATACAGAGTTATGAATTGCCTACTCAGAGATGATGGGTTAATATTATTATAAATACATATGTTCTCCAAATTTTATATACAGGTTTTACATGAAAGGGTTATGGATTAAAGCATGATGGATAGGACTCAGACAGCCGAGAAAGGTTCAATGTCAGCCTGCAGCAGGGTATATCTACCTGTTTCTTTTCATTTTCCAAGGGAAACACAGTCCAATACCTTGAACAGCACAAGCCTGGGACGTGAGACTATAGTTCCAAAGCAGGAGCTCTGGCTTAATTCCTTTTTAGACTGAGGAGAAATTTCAAGCCATATTTCCCATATCCTGGGTGAGCAATTATCCATTTGTTATTAAGTGGCTGAATTTACAACCACCAATTTGAATTCTAGGACTTACTGTCCAAAGTCCATTTGCCCTGGTGAGATAGAGCTACTGCCTGCAGAACTCACCTGCTCAAATGGAGCTGGGGGGTTCAGGTACAATCTTGTCCTGAGTATTTAATCTTGGCTATTTATAGATGGTGTCTATCCCAGAAAGCAGGAACCCTACTCCCACTTGTAGCTCCTTGTTTCTTCTACTAGCTGAGTTCACCATGCTATTGTAAGACACTAGTTTTTCCAGCTTTATGTTCAATATGATCCATAATTTAACAAATAACTAACATCTGTTCATTAAAACAGTTAGGACAAACCTTTCACTCCCTTCTTTTCTGCCGCCCATCTATACTCAATCCCAGGGAAATACCCAGGAACATCCCTTTGTCCTGACCACCCTTTCAGGATGTAATAAATATATCCAAAACATACTGAACCTGGGCAGTAGCTGCAGGTGAGCCAAAACCAAAACCAAACTGTTCCAGCTCCTGCACCCACCCAGGGCTCAGGTGCCTCCCAAGGCCCCAGCCCGGTCGAGACTCTCCAGCCCCCCACTTGCCACTGGCAGCTGCAAGAGAGAAGACCTGAAGAGGAGATACAAGGACTCCCTGAAACAACATCTCAACCTTGGCCATATTGATCAACAGAACTGATCTACTCTGGCCTCCAGTCGGGAGGTCTGGAGAAACACCATCTATAACGCTGCTGCTTCCTTTGAGAATGTATGCAGGATCACTCTTGAGGAGAAAAGACAATGTAGGAAGAACTGTTTCTTGCAGAATTTACCACCTAAGGAGTCCTTCTGCTGTGCCTTTTGCAACAGGACCTGTCTATCTTGTATTGACCTTTTTAGCCACCAGCGCGCTTGTAACAAATGTGGGTAGAGCCCTTCCCAAATCTTCATTCGCGAAGCCTAGCCATGATGATGATGAACATCTGTTCATAAAAGACCTGTCTGACCACCTATGTGTGAAAGATAAGCCTTTTTTCGAGTGGAAAATAAATGGTGATACTCACAGCCTGCACTTGGAGCTGCAGGTCATTTTTCTCCTTCAGTAAAGAAACCATTTTCTCCTCCAGCTCCTTCCGCTTTGCCTCAGACTTTGCAAGCTCTTCCTTGGTTTTCTCAAACTCTCCCTTCATGTTGGCCATCTCCTTC